ACGCCTTTTTAGATGGAGCTTATTGACAAATTTACACACCCCAAAACTCAGCAGGAGAGCCAGTGTTACCGAATAACCTACAGATCGATGGATAAAACCTTCACAGATGCAGAAATTAATAGCATCCAAGATTCTGTCAGAGAGGAAGTACAGAAAAAACTAAGCGTTCAGCTGAGATAGATTAGCAAATTGACTGACCACTCGGTCATACGTTGTTGAATATAGGCGTTTAGGATCACTTCTTACTGGCTTTAGCTGTAAACTCTAAGCAGGATTAAAATCCAAGTTAACAGAGCAAGCGTATTGCACTAAACAAACTTAACGAACTCAATGCGGTCAAATTTCCAGAGTTAGTGCTTGTTAGTGTAGAGGTTCGTGGGTTGACGTTAACCTTTGAAGACATTTGCAGATAAGAGAGATACCATCGTTTGCTGAAGGTCAATTCTTTGATGCCCTGTCTTTGATGCTCTACAAACTCTGGTTCACAGGACTTCTCTCTCGCCTGGCCACCCGTTTTGGGGGCGACGGGGGGCGAAGAGACTGCTGATACTTGAGACTGACAGGACACTTTACTTCGTAGCTTAAAGCTTAGAGTCCCCTAATGGGTCTGGAAAGATCACGGGGCCAGCTCCCATCGGGGGCCTGCTAACTCCGATTTTTCCTTTTTCCCACCATCACAGCAGAAAATTACACCGTGTTACGAAAAAGCGGCAACAGACATCTTTTATAGCAATTGTCCAAAATGGTGGTGAAAGTTGGTGGAGACGTCAAATCTTTCAGGCGAGACGTCCGCTGAGCTTGAGTAACACAGAACGTGAATTTTGGAGTTTTTCGAGCAGCTTCCTTAAATTCATTCTCATTTGTTGAATTTTTATTGATTGACAAGTGCTTGGTTTTATTGAAAGTTGTCTTGACAAAAGAAATTTAAGAAACGTACTTATTTTCATCTTGAAGAAATTGCTTAAGCTAGAATTAAGTGTTAGGAATGAAATGTTTTCTAATGGCCCACTGTTCTTCAAGTATTTTTCTTGGTAAATAAGAGGATTATCTGGTTGTAACAAAGTTATCAGGGAAAAATAAAATAGGTCCTTGAGTCAAAGGGAGAAAAATTACTTAATTAATATTCCAAAAAAGCAGAACTCAAAAGCGAATTACGACAGTGGAATGTCAGTCAAGTAGAGTGGTCAGGTTAGTGGTTTGATTGTGTTGAAGTAACCTTTTGGTTACATTGGCGCTGATACATGCTTTTTAATTTGACGTCAACTATTTGTGAAAAAAAATATATGTCGATGAAATTATATGTCACGAAAAGGCTTTGCTCAAATTGCAGACCTGTTCCTTGAAAGCGCGCTAATCAAGAAAGAGTGATTGAAAGTACGTTTAAGAACATGAAGTGGAGAGGATATTGCCGCGAATATAAAGCTTTGGTAACTGTAATTCAAACTCGCACTAACTTACGGAAAAATTAAGTAACCTGTCCCTACCGTCTTTCAATTTGCAGAAAAGGATTTCTGTATATCTTTCAAAGTATACTTGGACAAATCGTACCTTTTTGTGTATTTTGTCTCCATTGATTACGGCCTACTTAATTGAAATTTTATTTCCCCCTTAACATATTACTCCCAACAAAACTCCTCACTTGTTCATATTAAGTGCAAATACTGTTAGGTATCCAAGCTGGGCTAAGGTACGGATATGTGAGGTACCCTTCCTGAAACCGCTGTTTATTCTTCTTGTCCAGGAGGGGTTTGACTGCCGAGTGTAGTCGATTGTAGTGTTTCAGGACAATAACACTGCTCGCCTGATCACTGAGACGCGCTCCGTAGTCGAACAGTCGATCCAGACGGAGTGAACCTAAGCTCATGGCAACACCGGCTTGAACCTGCAATGAAACAATTTTTAAAAACTGGAGAACACGCACCGGTTTGTCCCCCGGGGATGTGGCTACTCCCATGTATGGGCTAGATAGGTATGTTCCGCCATGAAGGGTATGGTTTGTGAGGGTCTCCATCCGTAAAAAGGGTAACATATCATTTTCACCATTGTTGGCGTTGAGTTCCCGGTGTGATCATAGATAGGGTACCGTTATTATTTCTGAATTGGGTCTGATTTTTCAGGCTTGAAGGTATCAGTTTTCGTTTTTTTCATCCTAAAATAGGATCAGGGTGTAAGACCCTGGGCGGTACACACCTGTACGAAATTTATGGGAATACCCCCTCCCGCGATTTTTGTCTCTGGAATAGACCAGTTAACAGTTGTTGGTGGAAACAACGCTGCACGGGTTGACCTAGTTTTAAGACAATCCTCCCTGGTTACGTCAACCAATGTTTTTGTAGCATATATAAAAAGGAAAGAAAGTTCATCCTCACCCTCGTACTCACTCACAGGCTAGGATAACAAGCGGGCTACTCTAAAATGGTCAAGCAGAAGATCACGAGATTACACAAACATCCGTGCGTTCCGCGAGAAGCGTGACCTGTTCGCCCTCACGTGGTCACCCGTGGTCATTACCTTCGCTCCGGTCCCCTGATTTTTCACGTTTTAACAGCCAAACACAAAACAGCCTGTTGGCAAGGCAATTGTAACAAGAGGTAACACAGACGAGAGATGAAAACGCTTTGATTCTTTCGAAGAATCACAGTCTGTCAAGTGTCAATTCCTTGATCATCGCTTGGTATAAATTCCATAATTATTTAAAATTTACTTTGTCTACTTACTGCCGACACAAATCCGTTTGGCAGTCGGTAAGCGTTGAATACTTCGGGTGCCACTCGGTCGTCGTCGTAAATCTTTGTGGGCATATTCGGCGTGAATGCCCCGTAAGCCGCGATTGGGTAATTAACAGCAGTATGCTGTGCACTTGCAGTCCAGATGAGACGGGTAAAAATATCTACCAACAACACCTTGGAGTTAATTGCGGGTGGGAAACCACGAAGCTGGAATAAAGACCCCAACAAGAAATTTCTTTTAGCAATTTTCATTAATTATCCGCATATAAGAATCAGCATTTGTCCAAGTTAGCCTAAAATGGTTCTTGCGTTTACAGCGTTTTCTGGGAAAATTTTCTTTAACAGGTTCTCCAGTACTTCCTCAACGAAAAATACTATCTCCCTTGAAAAGCTTGTAAGTTTCGAGTGCACAAAGCCTAGAACAAGTTCGTACTTCAGCGGTTGTTAGAGTTCGCTCCTAAGACAATAAAAACTCAAATCCGGAAAAAAAATTACCCTAATAGGCAAATAAACAAATTTATTCATAAGTTTATTCGTACCTTTCCTTTGCCGCCATTACTCCCTAGTCCTTGGGTAGATATTTCGTTAGCAAAGCCTTGGATTTCGTGATCCTGCAGTACATCTTTGTCAGCGACGTAAAAGCTGAATGCAAAAGTCACTTGATTAATACCCGAAATATCTTTAACATACGATTTCTACGGCAAACCGCGGTCTGTGATTGGTCATGGCCAGAAATACTGAAAACTTTCAACATAAGGCAGATTAAGAGAGGATAACGCGACCACAATTAACAACTACGCGCAGACCGAAAAACTGACTTGGCCAATAGCAGAGCGGCAAATTGAGCACCGAACTAGTCGTGTTCATTCCTTTCTGCGCGATTGCGCGTTTTCTTTTGGTGTTAAGTAGTCTTTGCTAAATCTGCTTATTCTACCGTCACCTGAAGCCAAGAATTTGAATTTTATTTTGTGTTGACTTCCAGTTTCTTTATACTAGATGCATGGTAGTTGGTTATTTTATTTTCTTGAAATCTGTTTAGTCCAAAAGATACTGCTTAATGGGCACTAAATTCAGAAACATACCTAAAGTAATATCATATTGCGTTATTAAATTGCCTTAAATCGTAATCCCAACGTTGCTTAAGTCAAGTTGTTCGAAACAGGCCAGGGTGTGTCAGTAGTATGGTATTTAATCTGTACTCACAAGTTTACTATGTCTTTCATGAGATCCTCGATTGCTTTGTAAATTATCTCCCCGTCGTCTCTGTACGGAAAATATGGCAATTTGTTGCGGTCATCAATCCCACGAGCCTGATAAAACAAGCCGGAAAAGAGCCAGACACTAGGAATTGTAACGGTGATGTACAACATAACACATAACAGGCACGCGTGGAGATATTATCTGCCAAGCTATCGAATGGGGAAATTACTACTGCCAATAACTTGGTGATGATGATGACCATAACGTTGATGATCATGGGGAGAAGGATGACGATGGTGATGCTGTTGTTGTTAATGATGATGATGATGATGATGATGATGATGATGATGATGATGATGATGATGATGATGATGATGATGATGATGATGATGATGATGATGATGATGATGATGATGATGATGATGATGATGATGATGATGATGATGATGATGATGATGATGATGATGATGATGATGATGAGGTGCCAAAGTTTAACCCCTAGCTCTTGCCAATGGATACAGATGGAGTTGTTTCTAACAGTCTGGATTATACCTTCTGTCAGTTTGATTTTTACCCTTTCAAGTTTCCTTTTTTAACTACAAATATTTAAACCTTTCCAAATTTATCACTTTTAATTCAATATATTTGCTATATTTTTCTGTAAAGGATTATCACTGATTATCTATTCTTGACGATGACAAAAACGAAGAATTTACACACCTTGTTTCTGGCTCTGAAGTCAGTATCTTCCCATGTCAAGGTTTGATAAGCGCGGAGCAACAGCGTGACTGATCCGGTGTTGCCAATGGCAAACAACTGATGCATGTATGCTTTGTCATCCACCAGTTTAGGAAAACCAACCTTGTTAGTTGGTAGTAAACCCCTGCAATTATCAAATAAGGAAAATCAATCTACGAGGAGCCTCTTACAAGAATAAACTTGAAAGTCCCCTGTTTTTCTGACCCCTTTTCTCTCCTTCGAAAAAACCTGTGTCTCTGCCGCAAAATTATAGGAGAGATCGAAATGTACTCTGTAAGGCTTTCAAAGTAATGGAATGCATTTTTCTGTTCACACGACGCGTTTACTGCGCCTGTTGCTTTTATCGCCCAATAAGCATACGCCCCTAAGCCTTAGCCTGCCTTGTGGCAAGACAATTTTTGTAACTCTGGGGCATCATATGAAAACAAGACCATAAATGCGCCAGCTCCTACCTGCAGTGGTACTTCATGAGTTGGTGCAGGGGATGCAGTTTTGACAGGTGTCTCAAAATGCACACGCAAAATGGCTCCAACATAAGATGTGTTTTCAGTAAGTGTTCCACCATCTGAACGTAAGCAAAGTTGGTGACTTGGAAACTCTCCTTAGCTAAAGTCCACAGATCACCATCTTCGGGAGAGTAAACTAGGGAGTCTGTGATACAAAACATAAGTGATCACGCGTTATGTTCGAGCTCACAGTCATTTTCTTTAGAGAGCAGTACAAAACAAGACACAATATTAAAGATAAGTTGAAAGATGGCATAAGCATGATTCCTTCTTCCTTGTTTCCAAAGGCTATGCCTTACTATATATTTAAGATAGTGTTGTTTAATTGGGGGAACTGGGGTACTTAATCAGAATCAGGATTGGAAAGTGTGGAGGCGTAACTATTAGTAATCCCTTGTTTTCTTAAAAACAGCGCTTGAAATTAAAGCGAGCTCCTGAAAATCGTACCCACGAGAAAAGTGATATTAGGGAGTAAAGATGTCATGGTTTTAAACTCCCTGACATCTTGTGTAATCTTCCTAGGCCTCGTGGGTGGTGATTTCTTGGGTGTTTGCGCATTTCACTCGCTTTACTGAAGAAATTGTTTAAAGGAATTGTCGTAATTACAATGTAATTAGGCGCAACAGAAAAGTCACTCCGATTTCGGGGCAAATTGAAGGGATACGAGGCTGTTCATTGTCTATTGAGTGGAGGCTTACTGATTTAGTACAGGTTCGTAGCCTCTTAAACAGTGACCATACCTGGTTTAAAGTCTAGCTGAATAGCAACAGGTTTCAACTGCGCAGGTGCGCCATTATCCCCTGGACGAGAAACAAACAAGGCGATAGGGGATAAAGAGGGCCACATATTCCGTGTAAGTCTGGGTTCAGTGATGTCTGGCACAGTAACAAGGTTGTCAAAGAGAAGGAACTGAACAACAAAAATAGATCCTGCAGCAATGGCTTCTTCCAGCTTAACGTTGTCCCCTAGGCTTCTCTCCACAGCAGAATCCCAGTCGTAGTTTGAATTCAAGCGCGGTTTCAGCTCAGACCATTTGACACCAACAAAACCTGAAAAAGTGGCACCAGAGTTATGGATTAAAAAAATAAAGAAGATAATAAGTGTGAACGCCATGATTGGTTGAAGGTTAATTAACGGTAATTTATGGGTCAGAAATAGCTGTTGGAATACCAACACTAATGGCATTGCTGAGCTTTTGCTGCATAAGTAAGAAAGTAGTGTACAACTTTATTTTATAGATCTTTGTCCAAGTCGCAGCGACAGTTTAAGTGCCCGTCCCTAGTTGCCTACATGCAATTTTTTTAAATTCCCTTTAGAACTAGGATCGGTAATTTCAGTATCCTTCTTCGACCCTTCTCTCGTGCCATGACTCGGTGAACATAAGTTTTGGTAAAAAGATGTTACCTCAAATACATTTCCTCTTGATGCTACTAAAAAAAGACTTGAAACTTTGAATTTAATTGATTGTCAAACAAAGACGCATTATCTAACACTGATAATACTAAATAATATGTTATTTTCATCAAAGGTGGGCAAAAATTTGCCTAATGGCTAAACGAAAATATAAACGTACAAGAGGTCGTCCAACAGTTGCCAAAGAGGGATGGGGGAGGGAAAAATTGTTTCCGCAGAGATGTAATCGCCGTGATGGCAAGAGGAAGTGAACTAGGGAATGCATGCACGTATATGCGAACATTTCCTTGGAGCCTTGAAATGATTGGCTTTTGAAAGAGAGGTTGGGTTGACACGAGTTGGATGACCAACTATGAACAAAAAGGAGCCAGAAAAAAGGTGCATGGGCTCACAATGTAGTTTTAGTTGAGATGTTGATCTTTAATAGACAGCGCATGTTCAGCAAATTAAACTGCCGCTCGGACATGCAAGTGGCCAAATAATGCCAACACTTGAGTGGATCTGTGTTGTATTGCCTCAGAACAATAGCGTGACTTGAATGAAAGAATATACTCTTATTTTTTGGAAGATCTTTGGCGTCACCTACCTTGACCCGTGGAAACTTTCATGAGTGACATGGGATCCAAGCCGGCTAAACGCTGCTCAGAGAACACACGGTCTTCACGCCACGTTATATTATTCACTACACTTTTGAAAGGCTCTTCTTGGGAAGGAAATCGGAAGAACGGGCGAACCTGACAGAAATAAAAGGAATGAGAAAATAAAAAATGAGCATGTTACTGCAATTTTTACTAGAAGTTTAATAGCTAGGGATCTCGAATTTGCTCTCAGTTTTTCGGTAAGGAACTTAAAGGCAATATGGAGTCTGTGGTGCAGTCTTAAAGACCTTGGAGCGACATTCAGAAAAAGCTACTAAAATAAGTTAGATTGCGAGAAGTTTCTTATTCTCTTCAAAGTCCCTGGAGTAGGACCGGCGAGCGGCGAACGGCAAAGCGGGAAACGAGAAAACGCGTCTTTTCTCCTCTTGCCCCAGTCCCAGTTTGGCTAAAAGCGTTTTTAGTGCATACGCGCTCACTCCGTCTGAGAACTGGACGGAAACGGATCTAAGAGAAAAGGCGGAATGCAAGCAGTCTAAAAATAAGTCACACGCTAGGTATTGTTCTTCAAAAATGGACTATTGCTATTAAACAATTGTGAGTCTGTCTCAAGTTAAATCAAGCGAGGAAATATCCCTTTATTCTCGGTTGGTTAAATATATCTGCTACGCCTTGATCCTCCTGAAAAGTTTCGATATAAAACAAAGAACATAGTGGCTCTGCCTTACACAATGAAAACTAAACTAGGGGAAGTATTTCTTTAGCCTTGGTGGACAACATCCTCCGCGACCTTCATAATTCTTCGTATCGTACTCAGTCTTATTCAATAACTGTTATTTATAGGATTTAATGGATTACAAGAGACCAACAAATATAAACCTGAATTGTGGGGTTACTGAGCCTTCGTGGCAGGTGCCAGTTAGTTTATGTGGTTATGGCAGCTTGAATCCTTAATGGAAGGCTCTCGCATACAATTTTGAGACAGTGGATAAATATACAATTACCATAATTACCATTTCGTCTTTCTGTTGCTGCTGGAGAAAGAAATGATAAACCTGTTCGTAGTCGGAGATTTTCGAAAATTCTTTTTTGTTCATCTTCGGAAAATTCTGGATGAGGGCGTGGTTTTTCTTTAGCATGTACCCATACAACTTCATCCATGTTTCAGTGAAGGGATCTGACAGCGTAAGGTTTACCAAACGATGCACGTTTATATCACTCATGGGAAACGGAAGATTATTCACGTGACCAAGTTTGTAGATTGCTCTTTGTTTTACCAGATCTTTGCCTCTGCTTTCATGACAATGGACTGGAGCCTTTTGTGGAATAGCCACACCACATGGAATACCTACAGGGTGTACGTACATCAAAATAAAATGAATTCGACCAAAAAATCAACATGCCCGATAATCAGTAGCGATTTTTACAACCTCATATACGCAAGGCTTCCGTGGATTGTACCGATAAAAGATTTCGCCGCTTGTATAGTAACCCGAAAAGTGAGAAGTTTTGCTTGTGGAATGCGGAATTCAGCTCAAGGAATCTGCAATCCCTGACTCGTCCCCAGTCGTCTCTTTCTGTCTCTCCGTAGTGGCGCGAGGGGTGTGATGGGATTTGATTCGTTTCTTTTTCCTTCCCATCTCCCCCTGCTCCCTCCTCGCGCGTTACGCGAGGACGACTGGGGACGAGTCAGCTCCAATCCCGCTAACGATTGGAATCCGGAAACCAAGCTTTGCTGACAAGGAGTCCGAAATCGACAGCGTAGAATCCGGGAATCAATTTACGTTTCTGGGAAACTGCTCACCTGCCCCTCCCCTAAGCCAACATTTTGCCCTAAACGAGAAGTAAGCGTTAATGTTGGGTTATGGGAGGGGTAGGTGGGCATTTTCCCAAGTCTGTCTTGGGATTACCTTAGATGTGGGGAAAACGTTGCCTTAGGAGGACCAATAAGTTGTTCGTTTGTGATGTGATGTGTTGTGATGTCACGTGGCGTCGCGCGATATGATTGGAAACCTTTTATATCCACGGTTTTCCTATCAGTGGGTTACCACAGTTTTCGAACTTACGCTTTTTGCATCCAACTTGAGGCTGGTATCCAATCCATCCCGGGCAACAATCGTAGATATTGTAATGGACAGTTTTGCGTACTGGGTACCAATAAATCTTGGTTTCATTCCTAAAAATAACCTTGGATTACTCTTACTTCCTCAATCTATTTTTCTGCGCCGTTTCTATGAAAGTTACATTATGATACACCCACTTTGCATTCGTCCACTCAAACAATTAATTATGACATACGTTTCAAAAGAAAGCTAACAAACAATCTTTATGTTGAAGAAGATATATTGC